ATATGGTGGTGGTTGTCCTGCTTCGCTTGTTGCTATTGCTATAAAAAAAAAAATTTGCAGGCATTAAAGGTTTGGTCTCTGTATCAGGCACTATGCACAGTAATGTCTTTATAAATCTTTTTTGACATATAAACAGCTGTATGTGCCATAAAGCATGCTATAGAGAGGCTAAATAAATTGTGTTTGGTAATGTGAAAGAAGAGAGATTCTCTTACGGCCTGAAAATGAGAGCAGTGTTGCTGTGAAAGCAATGGCAAGGACACTAGAGTTGAGGCTGAAGAAGCAATTTTATTCCAAGTTGCTATTTCTAGGTACTTAAACTTCAGACATGGCTTTACAGGGTCCTCAGAGAGGAAATGAACAGTTAACAAAACTTGGCTTTACTGGGGGGGCGGGGATCAATTGAAGAGTGTGATATGCCATTGAAAAAAGTGTTAATGCATTTGCATAGTGATCTTTTCTTTCCTAAAGAAGTCAGCAATGGGACCAGTAGTTAGCGTAATGGCTATGTTGCTGAACTCCCATGTAGTCAACCACAGTTCGAGTCCCGGACCCGGTGGCTTAAACTCACACTGGGCGCGTGTGCGTGTGTGCCCAAGATCCCAAGAGGAGAATGGAGGAGAAGGGATTGCAGCATGGCCATCCCCCTTGGGGGGTGATTTCTCACTATCTCTCTGTCTCTGTCTTTCTGGCGAGTGCACATGCCCTATAGCCAAAAAAAATAAAAATAAAAAATAAAATTCTCTTATTTAAAAAAAAAGAAGTCGGCACTTGGTGTCATCTCACACATAAAATCAAATGTTTCTGGCCCTTCGCAGATACCATTATATTCCATTTCTCACCACACACAAAAGACCTCATGTTCTAGGACTCAGAACCTCAGAGAGCACCCCTTTTAGGCAAGGCTTGAAATCATAGCTCCTAGGTGACAGTAAAGGGCTGGTTGGTCCCGCCGAGGTTTTTGAAGAAAAAAGAGGTCTAGGAGTGCCATGCACTTGCTTACACCAAGAGTCTGTAATGCCAAGTGTGGCCTGTCTAATGAAAGCAGTACTGTCTTGGAGAACTGAAGTCCTGGAAGATAGGACCTAGGAGGACAGGTTCTTGATGGAAGAGTTTCACTGCCGAAATGTGCTGACATGCCGAAATCACATTTTGAACAGTGAGCCACCTATCCCTGGTGCAGCATTTTTTGGTTTGTTTGCTTTTTGTTCCCCACAAAAGAAAATAACACTATGCACATGATTAAACTGATACATTTTCAATAGCTTCAGATACTTTCAGTTGATCTTTGTTTAAGCTTATCTAAAAAAATACAAATAAGCCAAGTCTTTTTGTTGTTAAATAACAGCAACTCTGTCTTAGTTTAGAAATAGTTAAGCCCTTGAAAACAGTAACTTGGTCTGAAAGTGCCACTTTAGCTACAAGACTAATGCCAGTCCCATATGCTACACTCCCCATGCTGCCCTCTGACCTTTCAGCTGTGCAGAATCCCTGTCACATTGCCAGACAGAATTTGACGTTTTCTAAACACCTGCTTTGGTAACACCTGTTTATCATTCTGACCCTAGTAAAAGAGTTTCTGCAAAAGGCATGGGATTGGCTCATGCATGTCCCTTTCATCCCTAAAGAAAAAAGGGCCTCTGCAATTATCCAGATGGACAGGAGGGTGGGCAGACCAAATGCCATAATTAGATGGAGATGGGGTTCACATCGTTTCTGTGTCACAGGAAGACCCTAGTGGTAGTTCAACAGCCAAGAAAGGAGCTTCATTTTCACACATCAGGAAAAGCTGCTTGAAGGAAGCCAATTGCATGCGCTGCATCCATTATGGCTCAAGTATGTGGCCATCCTTTCTGCTGCTGCTACCACTCTGCTCCCCTGTGTGACAGAAGTTCGACCTGACCTTTCCTCTCCATCCAGCTATGAAGCTGCTTCCCCTGCTGCAGAAAGCTCCCAGGCAGGAAATAAATGCTTGACCCAGTACCCCAAACCTGGTTGCAGAGCTCTCCAAACTCAGTGCGAAAGCAGTCAAACACACCACCATTTCTTTTGCTTTTTAAATGCCACAGTCTATGTAAATGAATTGCTGCAGTTTGATTTTACAGTCACAAGTGAGAGATCTCAAACCAACACCTCCTAGATACAGTTTTGCAACAGGATATCAGTCACATGAATGAAACATTTAGTACCTGACAACAGGCTGTAATATAGCTTGTTATGTAGCATGTCCAAAAGAGTAACACAAAAGTGCTACATGGCCAAACATGGAGGCCACACTTTGGGGATGTCACTTTAAAATCACTCATCTCATAATAGTAAAGTCTCAAATACAGCAAAGCCTTTAGATAGGTTTGGCATTTAAAAAGTAAACTATTGGGAAGACTTCGCCAATCTGCAGGGAGCCTACATAGGATAGGTTACCTGAAATGCAATTTGTAATTATATAAGTATCTAATTTTCTTACCTGGCTCCATCAACCTTGTGCAGGTGCTGCTTCCCCTTCTGGTTTGATTTCTGGTTCAGTAAGACCTTCTGAAGCAGGAGGGAAGGGGCCGCTAGACGATTTTACAGGTACACCCAAGTGCACTGTTTCTGCAGCTTCCCAAGGGAGCACAGGGTTGACCTCCGACTCCTGGGGTGCAGAGTTTTCCCGTGACTCCTCCTGCCCAGTATTGTCAGGGACTATTGAAATGACCTCCACTTCCAGGTGCAGAGATTTTTCAGAGCCTATTTTGAGAATGCTCTCTGCATCCAGGGGTTGTACAGGTCCCTCAGACTGACCTTGCAAAGAGATCAGGCAACAGAAGTGTAGCTTCTGCCTCCACATGTACTGAGGACTCATAATTTGCCTTCTCCTCCAACAGTGCAAAGTTTGCAGAATCTACAGATTTTCCAGACATGCCTGAAGCTTTCTTGTCTACTACAGGTTTAGGACTAACTGGTGGTGACTGCTCATTTTCTTTAAGACAAGCAACTTGTTCAGTAAAAGGGATACATATTTGTTCCGGTATTTGCTCGATATAAACAACTCCTTCAGTCACAGGCTCATCTTTATATATAGATGATATATGAATGGTTGATGCAACCTCAATATCAGCCTGCAAAGGGACCTCAGGAGCTTGGTCATAAGCAGGAGGGTGTTGTTCATCCTGCAAGGGGAATGAGGAAGCTGTTGGTGGTTCAGCCTCATTGTCTTGAGGTTTAGAACTCAAATCTACACGGACAGATTTTTGGCTCACAACCTGCACAGCGCCTTCTCTGACCTGGCTCCCATGGTTTCTTCACCAGCCTCTGAGCTCAGCACCTCCTTGATACAAGCAGGCATACTTGTTGCCACATCCACCATTAAAACCTCAGATTGATCAGAATGAATAGATGAAACTTTACCTAACATCTGAGCAGCAAACTGAGCTGGGTCAGCTGGGACATAGGCAAACTCTGGTGAGACAGCTGCTGGAGATGGTGATGAGGGTGGGGTGATAACCTTAGGGGTGTGTGGTTTGGAAGAAGGACCACGAACTGCTTCATTTCTCTCTTCAGGCTCTAGAAATTCAGCATTAACTGATGGAAACTGGGTGGTTTTGTTGATGAAGAATGGTCTAGCTATATTGTCCTCCTCTGTGTCCGTAGATTTTTCCATCCGGGTAGGTTCTTGAGAAACTACAGATGTTCCTTCTGGTTCTTTCACACATTTTGGTTTCTTCTCTTGTGTTGCTCCTTTTGACCATTTCTCCACTAAAAATAGCCAGATGGATTAATCAGCACATATTCTCCAAAGAAAGAATTTTAAAGAAAGCAGCAATCGTTGAGCATTCAAATATCAATATGCACACAAGCACAGAAAGAGTTTTGAGTAATAAACCTTTCCTGCCCTTACCCACTCAAGATTCTCAGTTCTTTTCCTTAGAAATAAGTGACTTTATCTAAATAGTACAGTGGTGAAACTAGTAATCGCATACTATTTTAAGCTAGTCACCATCAGGGGGAAGATCATAGCTCTGTGCCTAGATTATGAAACCTGAAAAGCTCCTGATCTGGGGCCATCAGGTGGCATAGTAGCTAAAGCACTGGACTCCCACATGACCAACCATGGTTTGACCCCCTGACCTGGTGGCTTGAAAATCATGCCCTGTGTGTGTGTGTGTGTGTGTGTGTGTGTGTGTGTATTCAAAATCCTGAGAGGAGAATGGAGGAGAAGGGATTGCCGCATGGCCATATCCATGAGGAGTGAGGGGGTGGTTTCTTGCCTTCCCTCTGTCTCTCTGGTGAGTGTACATGCCCTATGGCAAAAATCACAAAATGGGAAAAAAATGCTCCTGATCAAAACTTTCACACAAAGCTAAGGAAAACAAAACAAAACAAAACAGAAAAACACCTCAAGCATTAAACTATCTTATCTTTAGCTGGTATAATAATAACTTTGTAATGACACAGGTGCTGTCATATCAATAAAGACATTTCTCAATATAAGAAAATTGGGACCAGCAGTTAGTGTAGTGATTAAGGCACTGGATTCTCACATGGTCAACTGCAGTTCAAGTCCCAGATGCAATAACTTGGAACTCATACTGGGTGCATATGTGTGCGTGCCCAAAATCCTGACAAGAGATTGCAGCAAGTGGTGATTTCTTTCTCTCTCTTTCTGTCTCTGGCAAGTGCATGTGCTCTATAGCAAAAATCTCTCTTAAAAAAAGAGGAAGAAAATTGATGCATAAAGTTTAGCTTAATTAGTAAACTAGGAGACCATAAGACTTTTTACATTAAGAAATGTCAACATTCTGGGGTCAGCAGGTGGCATGGTTGTTAAGGCGCTGAACTCCCACATGGCTGACCACAGTTCAAGTCCCAGACCTGGCTGCTTGCTCTCTCTCTCTCTCTCTCTCTCTGTCTCTCATCAGTGAGCACATGTGCCCTATAGCAAATTAAAATAATTAATTGAATCAAATAAATATTTTTAAAAAATGTCAACATTCTAACTGAAAAATAGTAGCACCTGGGACCAGCAGATGGTGGAATGGTTACATCTCTGGACTCCAACATAACTGACTGTAGTTTGAGCTCCAAACCCAATGGGTTAAAACTCATGCTGGGCGCATGTGCGTGTGTGCCCAAAATCCCGAGAGGAGAATGGAGAAGAAGGGATTGTGGCATGGTCATCCCCTGGGTGGTGATTTCTTGCTTCCTGTCTCTCTGTCTCTCTAGCAAGCACATATACCCTAGAGCAAAAATTTCTCTTAAAAAAAAAAAATTAGAGCACCTATGTTGAGGTGTCAAAATGTACTCAAAGTCATACTGGCCCAGAAGAGGGAAAAAAGAAATCTTAAGATCTGAAAGTGTGGACTCGGTGAGTCCTCAGATGTGAGAGAAACTGGCTTAGGAGGTCAAGACAACTGATGATATTTAAAAAGTCCTAGGAGCTGGAAAAGAGCCATGTTTGTCTAAACATCTTAGTTGTTACTTATCAGAAGTTTATACATGATTTTCTCTTGGGGATGTATTTCTCTAATATAATGGTATTTGTAGAGAGAGTGGAATTTGCATGAATGTGTTTAGTATACAGACACACTTTGGAGACAGACAAAGCTGCTTCCCAGGGAATGGTGTCCTACAGTGTCCTCCTCTACACTGCTGATTTATTTGACCATAGACTCGAACCATGGTCAACTACGTGGGAGTCCAGCAATGTAACCATTACACCATCTGCTGGCCCCTACACTGCTGATTTATTTTTTTTTCTTTTTTGTAAATTCAATTAATGTTGTCTAGTTCTGGACATAAATAGCCACTCCAAATTCTCACATGCAGAGAAGAGTTTCAGGAAACAAAACAAAACAAACAGAGAAGCAGCATATACTCTTGCATCCCTCTGCTTAGTATAGTAACCTAATTTTCCTAATTACCTCTTCAGGACTTCCCCATATACTTTTTGTTTGTTTGTTTTGGTTTTTGTTATAGGGGCAGGGGAGGGAAAGTGAGAAATCAGACCCTAGGGAAGATGGCCATGCTGCAGTCCTTTCTCCTCTAAGGATTTTGGGCATGCGCATACATGCACCAAACCTGATTTTCAAGCCACCAGGTCTGGGACTCAAACCATAGTCAGCCATGTAGGAATCTAGCACTTTAACCACCACATCACCTGCTGTCCCCACCCCTGCCTACTTTTCCTTTTTTTTGGAGAGGTTTTTGCTATAGGGCACGTGAGCTCACCAGAAAGACAGAGAGAGACAGAAAGTGAGAAATCACCTGCCCGCCCCCAGAATCCCTTCTCCTCAATTCTCCTCTCTTGGGCAGGTCTTGGGCATGCATGCACATACGCCCAGCATGAGTTTTAAGCCACCGGGTCCGGAATTCGAACCATGGTCAACTACATGGGAGTCCAGTGATGTAGCCATTATGCCAACGGCTGGTCCCAGCTATGATGATGCAGAGGGATTGAAACTGAGCCTAACAGTCTGCAGCAATTTGTGATAATAATTACTATGATATAAACAACAGAGTAACTCAGCTGGGATCCAGGTGGGTAAGAACTTCTTGATTCTTCAAAAGAGGTAGCTATTCCCTATCTCTTTTGGAAGCCAAGACAGGACTGACACTGGAAACTGGGCTTAGTTAGGCTAGGGGGTGGGAGGTGATAGTGGTGATGAGATAACAATTACCACACTTCCCTCTTCACAAAGTGCTGAAAAGATCAGAACTAGCACAATCTGGAGTCCAGGTTCTGCACACAAAGGTGCCAGGTAGAAAGACGTGAAATAGTGGGAGATAACATGGGGAAAAGGAGCTCAAGTTCCTCGTCCAGAGGGATTCTGAAGTATTACTTTATAGTAGAAAGAGCATGGGCCATGCTAATGGGAAGATCTAAGTTCATATCCTAACTCTACCAATTTCTTCATTTTTAGAAACTAGAAAATATTTGACTCCCAGGCCTCAAATTTCTCTTGAGTAAAATTGCAGTAATGTCACCTACTTCTTAAGGTTGTCTGTATTAAAAACAAAATATATTTTAATGCCTAGGACAAAACAGTTACTCAATAAATATTAATTCCATTCCCTTCTTTCTTTTCCTAACATACACTAAATAGAATTAAAAGGAATTGTTCTTTTGCCTTAAAATATCATGAGTTTATAAAATCCCACTAATTAACAATTTATTTGGATTAATGAAGAAACTCTCCTGAGAAGATTGAGAAATGAGGGAGAGCTTTCATGGATTCACATGATAGGATCTATGTAATCAAATTGCAGAAAAACAGGAAGAGGACCCAAGAAAGAGTTTCACAGCATGAGCTTCTTTGGATATAGGCATACATGTAGGAAATGCCACAATGAATGCCCTGATAGAGTCATGGACCATCTTAAAGACACTATCTCTGGAAAAATGGTGGGAAAGATGAGAGATGCCAGAGAAGTGACAACTATATGCTTTCATTTCTGGTTCTTTTTTTCCTTCCTCCTCTATCACCTGACTATACATGACATTTTGATAGCACTGGGGTGATACATAAACACATTGGTCCTATGATGAGACCTACCAAAAATGGGGTTCTAGGAAAAATCCCAGAATGAATGTTCAACTAAAATAAATAACATGTGCAAGGGTGTTTTCGTCACCATGCTTTCCATGCCCAGGCATGATTCCGGGCAGCAGACCAACCAGTTAGGGAGTAACTTTGAAGACTATATATATCCTCATTGAGCACTCTGGAAAAAAAACATGTCTTTCAAGTTTATATATGGTATCTGGGCAATGAAGGGACATCAATGCACTAGGGATGGTAGTAAGTTCTCACCCTTATTATCAAGTTCTAATACCTACTGCTATCTATGGCTGTTCTAGCCTCACGTTAAAGAGACTGAAAGACTAGAATTAAGAATCATTGACTTAGTCCTCAAAGAATGGTTCATTTCCCCCCTCTTATAAGTCATGGAAAACCTGGGAGGGCTTCAATTCTTGGAACTAACAGATAAAAGATTGTAGGATATTGTAGGTGCCATCATACATATGTAAAACTGGGATCCACACAAGGGAAGGCCTATGTGGATGAAAGAGAAGATGCCATCTATAATAGGTAAATTTTTATTGTGGAGAACTGAACAACCATAGCCAAATTTACCCAGAGCTCCCATAGGAACAGCAGTTGGGAATTAAACCAGTCATACGGTAAGAGGATATCGCTCAGGGGAGGAAATGGCCTACCAAGTGGGAACTTTATGTTGTCTGTATATCCCTAGATAGTCCTTTTTACCCCAGAGTAATGCTTTCCTGGATGTAGGTAGACTCATGCAATCTCTATCAAAGGACCTAAGATAAAGGATAGTTTGTCTAGTAAAAAATTAGTTGGGATGGATTCAATCAGTAATATACAGCAGACAGAAAACAGAAATGAACCAAACTGAGTATTAGACTGTAACACTAACATCTGTATTTTCTGTCATACTTTCATGATACCCCTTGATTTCCCTAGTAAACCAGAACAATGTTCGTTTCCATTCTGCTGCCTAAAAAGCAATCCAGTTTCTATTACCATACTGTGACCTTACTTTCAGGATTATCTGTATACTATATCAATGTTCTTGATAACTGTAGTTATTAGAAGATAAAAGCATTTTTCTACCCCTTACCCCCATCAAAAGCGTGTCCACTCCATTAATCTTGTTAACCTATTAATTTTGAACCTTAATATTCAGACATTAACCTACCTGGATGAAAATCCACATTGTTTGTCCACTTGCTAACTGAATGGTGGATAAATCATTTAAACAAATTACATTCAAAAGTAACCAGTTACCTTCTACCACAAAGACTGACTGACTTTATCAGCATTCTCAAACACAGCAAACCTGTACACTCTCAGAACTTTCAAACAGTAGCTCCTATAGAGGACGCCAAGTGTAAGAATAACAACCTTGACTACAGAGGAAACCAAGCTCATAGGGAGGGGAAGAGTGTTTAATGTTCTCGTACTTTGTCTGCAAACCCTGCTGTAAATACTGTTGATGATATGCAAGTCTAACACTTGTTTCCAAAGGAGAGCTGAGAATGCCAAGGTCTCTACAAGGAAGCAGGCTGACTAGATAATAAAATATTCCAGAATCATGGCACTCCATTCTCCTGCCACTTCAAATCCTGACACTTGCTCTTTTTTAGACAGGGTCTCCTTATGTGCCCTGAGTTGACATTCAACTCATGACTCACCTGCCTCAGTTTCACAAGTGGCACCACTGGCCCAGCTCCTTGTTCATCTTACTCTTGCTTTCTGCTATGAGTGTCTCATCCACTGCAGATCCAACCCCACATGCTACTCTACATTTTCCTAGGCCTTACTCCTAATTTTTCCCTGCCTTGGTTATGTTATCTATTAATATTACCAAAGTAATAGAGTATAAAATGGCTGACAACTCATTGAATCTTTTCCTTTGTATGATTCCAGAATATTGGTCAGCCATTATAGTAAGAATTATTGAGTTACTTCCCACACTGGCCATGCGTATTCACTTTCCTTCTATACAAAGTTCTATGAAAAGCTGCTGCTTGCCATCCTTTAGATATAAATGCCTCTCTTTGGGATCTGACCATTATAAACTCTTGCTTTTAGTGATCTTCCCAAATTTTCATCATGTAACTCTTGCCTTATTTATGCTCTTCTTTTTCACTGCTCTGACAACTTAGCTTCATACTGTCATATTCACATAAGACAAACACTCAAACATACACACACAGCACACAATTTATCTTCTAAGTAGGTATATAGCATTATATCAGAGTCTTTGAGATATGCCAGAGGTCTTAAGACCCCTGCCTATAAAAAACTTGTCTCTTCTGGAGGAGAAAGTATAATCAGAAACACCTAACTAATCTCCTGCCTTCCAGCCTGGACAGTAAATCATCGGGGGTGGGGGTGGGGGTGGGTAAAATGCATAGATAACCTTTTATTTTTTTTTAAAAAAAGAAAGTTTCCTAACGGAAGTGTTCACATAGCTTTCCTAAGTTAAGGTATCTCATTACAATTTCAGTCTTTATTACTATAAAATACATTTTTTTGAATTGCTTAATTTTATTATTATTATTAATTTGACCAGTGAGAGAAAGAAAGGGAAGTGAGAAAGCAAGCCACCAGGTCCAGGACTCAAACTGTGATTAGCAATGTGAGAGTCTAACACCTTAACTACCACACCACCTACTGGCCCCCAAAATCCAATTCTTCTAAAGTATACCATACTTCCCTGAAGACAGGACGTATTAGAAATGATCTGAATCAGAGACCAGCAGATGGTACGGCAGTTATGTTGCTGGACTCCCCCCATGACAAACCAAGGTTTGAGTCCCGGACACAGTGGCCTGAAACTCACGTTGGTTATAAGTGTAATGCATGCCCAAGATCCCAGGAGGAAAATGGCAGAGAAGGGATTGCAGTGTGGCCATCCCCCCAGGGTTAGCTCAGCTTCCCTCTTACTGTCTCTGTCTCTGTCTCTCTCTCTCTCTCTTGCAAGTGCACATGCCCTAAGGCAAAAACTTCTAGAAAGCAAAACAGAGAAAAAATTATCTGAATCATAGTTACCATAGTTCACACACATAGTTTAGTATAGTCTTTGCCTTCATGTATAGTCACAATGACTATACTATGCCAGAGATCTAGAGACCACTATCTGTGGAAAACTTATCTCTTGAACTAATTACACTATCATTGGAAAATATTAATTTTCCAATTTTTTAGGTTTTAGAATCCTACAAAATGTCAGTCCCCAGGTTTTGTTGTTGTTTTTGTGTTGTTTTTTTCTTTTTGGGGGGGGGAGAAGTTTTTGCTATAGGGTGCGTACACTTGCCAGAAAAACAAGAGAGAACCAGAGAGACAGAAAGCCAGAAATCACCCCCAAGGAGGGATGGCCACACCGCAGTCCCTTCTCCTCCATTCTCCTCTCGGGATCTTGGGCATGCACACACACACGCCTGGTGTGAGTTTAAGCCACCGTGTCCAGAACTCGAACTGCGGTTGACTACATGGGAGTCCCGCAACATTACGCCAAATGCTTGTCCTAGTCCCCAGGGTGTTTTTTTTATAAAAAAAAAAACAAAACGCTGATTTAATAATAAAAAATAAAGCCTCAGTGTGAATAATTTAAACAGAAAATATTTGTTAAAGTATTTCTTAAGTATGAAGGAATGCTTGTAATGATGCAATAATTTATCACCAGCAATAATAAAGTTATCATCACTTGTGGCACTTCACTTACCTTTAGTCTGATGAAATTGTTTAACCAGATCTTTTATATCCAGACAAGTATTCCCTAAAGGAGTAAATACAAGAAATCACGAAAATTATCAACAACGAATGCTTTCTTTTTCAAAGCAGAAAAGAATAAAGGAATAACAAACCTTCTCTAAACACAATAAGTTCTTTAAAATAAACTGCTGCAAACTGGGTGATGTTTGCTGGATTGGTTTTGAGAATAGCTCTGCTAACTCCCTCCAGCAGAGTCTTGAGGCCATAGGGTACAACAAGTTTGGACTTTGCAGAAATCATTGTGGCAGGATGACTGTAATCTCAACTATAATGAAGAAAAAGTCTGATAAGTAACTTTTTAATCGTTTTCAAGAATGAGTCTTAAAATTATTACTTTAAGTGTTAATCTCTTAAGTATTTATTCTAGTAAAATGAATTTAATTCTTGATGGCAGTTAAATAAAACAACCCCATTGCCAAGAGTTTATTATGTGCAGATGAGCAGACAAGTACTACTATAAAAAACCTATAGGAGCTACTCTGTCAGACCCCCCTCCCCCCAATAATAGTAAAAACCAAACAAAACCTGCTTCTGTAAAAGTCAATGAATATTTTGTGGGGTAACATTTCAAGGAAGATAATTAAGTTCAAGCATCTGCTTCCAAACAACATCCTTCCAAACCACATAGGTACTGGCTTTTCTGTACATTCATCAAATAAAGAGTTATAAAACTGTGTTTCAGCAAGATGAAAATGGCTTTTTATTTTTCTAAATATATCTCCAGATATGTTGCTCATTTTTATGCATGTTCTTTTCCTTTTGAGAGGGAAGAGTGAAAGGGGGAGGAAGAGGAGGGAGAAGGACAAGGGTGGGAGAGAGATTGTTGACAGGGTCCCATGGTTGCAATCCTCTGCCCTAGCCTCCCAGGTAGCTAGGATTACAGGCACACACTACCATTTCCATCCTGTTCTTGCTGGTCCCGGGGCCTCCCGCATGGCCCCTAGCCTGGTGCAATGGCTCTCTACACTTATGCCACCATGACTGGGCCTGAGTGTGCCTTGTTATGGAGTTTTAAATCGATTGCTTAACATTAATCAGAGTAGATATGAATTATTCGTGGCATTATTATACCACCCACCTTTTTCTTTTTTCATATCCTCCCTTAACCTGTGCCCTAGTTTCTCACTAGCTCTCCTTTCTCCTTTTTGGTTCTTAAGTGGTACCAAGCGTATTGCATGGTCCAGTCCATAATTCTCAGAGTTGCAGAAGCTGCCATCCTACACGGTGCATCAGTGTGTTTGCATCTGTTCTCACTCTAAAAAATTTCAGAAGGCTTATAAATATACATAAAGATAAAAATTTTAAAAATTTAAGAGAGATTTTTGCTATAGGGCGTGTGTGCTTGCCATAAAGACAGAGATGGAGAGGGACCAGCAGTTAGCATAATGGCTATGTCACTGGACTCCCATGTAGTCGACAACGGTTTGAGTCCTGGACCCGGTGGCTTAAACTCACGCTGGGCGCATGTGCATGCGTGCCCAAGATCCTGAGAGGAGAATGGAGGAGAAGGGATTGTGGTGTAGCCATCCCCTCTGGGGGGTGATTTCTCGCTTTCTATCTCTCTGTCTCTGTCTGTATGTCTGGTGAGTGCACATGCCCTATAGCAAAAACCTCTCCAAAAAAAAATTAAAAAGACAGAGATGGAGAGACAGAAAGTGAGACATCAACCCCCAAAGGGGATGGCCACACTGCAGTCCCTTCTCCTCCACTCTCCTCTAGGAATTTGGGGCAAGTATGCACACATGCTGGCATAAATTAAGCCACTGGGTCCAGGACTCGAACCACGGTTAACTATGTGGGAGTCCAGCAACATAAATATTATGCCATCTGCTGGCCCCCCAAAATTAAATATTTAAGGAAACCTATTCAGGGGTAAAGGAAAAGTTATAATAGGAAAAATAGGATTAAAGTACAGATAAGGTTTGCACCCCAATGCAAGCCATTGACCCCTTCACTTTGGTAGAGATGAGTATCAAATCATCCCTGAGCTACCAAGCAGCCATCACAAAATAGAAAACAGGGGTTAAATGCTTCAGGTTTCTGGAAGTAAAAAAAAAAAAAAAATCAGTTGCTTGGCAGAATTACAGCTTTTCTGGACACTGAAGCCCAGGAGAAATTTCTCCCCTGGGTCCTTATAAAGAGGAGAATAATGTGATATAATGAACCATGTCCTCAACAACATCCTACGGTAAATACAGTAACGAGTTTCATGGGGCTAAGTGACACAGTTCAGTTACAGCAATTATACAAGGGATCAGCTTCTAGTCAAAAGCAACCAATGTATCATAGCAAGTAACTGAACGTTTATTACCACGTTTCATTTTCCCAAAGGTCAGGACAAAATGAATATGTATGGGCCAAAGCAAGTCCTTTGGGAATGTAAGTATATTGCGTTTCTTAAATGAAAACTTACTATCAGTATCGTTCAATACAGGAACCTTCCTGACTTAAGCCATCTTTAAATAAACCAGTGATACAGACCAGCCTGTGGTGTGACAGTTAAGGTGACTGGATCTCACATGGTTGACCTCCAGATGCTGGGACTTGAAAGAACAAGCTGGGTTGTGTGTGCATGCATGCTCCAAAATCTCAGAAGGACAAATGGAGAAGGGATTGTGTTGTGACCATCCCCACGCAGGATGAGGTTGCTTTCTTGCTTTCCCTCTCTGCCTCTCCTGAGTACACATGCCCTCTGGCAAAAGTAAAGAAAAACAAAAAACAATTACGCAGCTTTGACAGGCCCCAATGCTAAATGCTAAGGCGCACAGGCTGTGATGGTGATGCCATATGTGCACCATGGAGTCTTCAAAGTTTGTAGAAATACGTATTATGAGAAAACTATACATGGATCTACATTTTTTCGCACCAAAATAAACTTCAGACTTTGGAAGTCCCCACATATGTATTTATACACATAAATCCTATACATTTTGCTTATACCTACTTAGTACATAAATTGTTTATATATAAATGTAATTAAAAATTTTTTATTATAGGGCACATGCACTTGCCAGAGAGAAGGAAAGGACAGTGAGAAATCACCCTCTGGTGGGGGATGGGGGAGATGGCCATATCACAATCCCTTCTCTTCCATTCTCCTCTAAGGATCTTGGGACCCATGCACACTGTTTTTTCAAGACTCGGGCTGACCGCCTTGTGCAATCCAGTCACCTTAACCACCATGCCACCGGCTGGCCCTGGAGACATAGTTTTTTAAAAAATATTCCATGAGGACAGAAGTTTGACTGCTTTTTCCTATTTCTAAAATTCTTTCCAGAGGGCCTGGGATAAGTAATGCCCACAGACATTAACGGATTATTTTGGGCCCATTAGATAACAAAAATCTTCCTACATCCTGTTCCTGGCGTAGTATCCCTGTAATGGGTGAGTCACCACCACAATCATTAACAGACCCACTTTGACTAATTGATAACCCTGTCTTTGGGACAGTACCCTGTGACTGTATTCAAGCCTCCTTATCTCTGTTAAAGTACCCTCCTTACTAATTCCTTCCATAAACCTATAAGCCCCACTTCCACATGTCTGCCTTTCTGGGCCAGGTCAGTGGAAAGCTCACTAAATTCTCTCACTCTCAAAATCAAATAAAAGTAACTGCTGTACCTGATCACCCTGAGAGAGAGGCTTGTTTTGCCTCCTCTCTGGGCTTAGGTCACTCAAATTTGTGCTTAAAAATAAACTGCCATGATTATTTTTGCAGAGTTCGTTATTTCTCTTGACAAGATGACAACCACAAAGGGACCAGAGAGAAAATGAAGTTCTTCTTAGGTTTTTTTTTTCCGAACCTGGTGCTTGGTACCAGCACAACGGGACCTTTGAGCCCCCTCTGGCTCCGAGCTTCTCCTTGGGGGCGATTCAATAAGTTCTCTGGCTCAGGACCTCCCAAAATTTGGTAGACAGTCTAGTTTATTTCTAACCTGGTTTGTTGTTTGTTCATTTGTCTTTGTCTCTCTGATTTGGGTCTGTCTTTCCTTTGTCTGTTTTGGGTAACCCAGGTTTGCTCTTCTCTGAGCAAGGGGTAGCAATTTGCTCTCCTCTGAGGGAGGGGTAGCAGTTTGCCACCCCGCTTCCCCTGAGTGAGGGGTACTGCTTTGCTCACTGCTAAGCAAAGGCTAGAGGTTTGCCCCCTTCAGGCAGGGAGCAGTTGTTTGTCCCCCTCTGAGTGGGTAGTTAGGGAAACCTAAAAAAAATTTACAAAAGGTGATTTGGGGTTAAAATTTCCCAAGTGAATAATTTTGATATTCCTAAGTTAGTCTTTTTGGACACTAAGTTAAAAAAAAAAAAAAGGCAAATAAAACTAGGACCTCACATTAAGAAAAAAAGAATGAAAATCCTTCTTTAATTTGGTGTTTAAAATCAACAAAAAGAAAAAAAATGAACTTACCTTCTTTCAGGAAATTAATTAAAAAAATGAGACTGTCTCAGAATTAAAACAGTTAACAGAAGCTGCTTCTAAAAAAAGGCACCAGAATCTATTCCTCCCTCTGTTCTCTCCTACCCTTTGCTCTCTCTCAGCTCCCCTATCCAGAAAACTCCTTCCTCATACTCCTGTTGCCTTTCCCCTAACTTAAAAAAAAAAAAAAAAAAAAAGATTTAGGAGAGATATTAAGGAGGGAAATAAAATCATGGTTGCTCCTTTTAAAGAAAAACATACTGGACAAAAAGAGCCAAATGTAACGTATACACCACGGACAAAGGCAGACCTAAAAGCCTTACTATCAAGGTTTCCTGACCCAACTAAAGACCCTACTGGGTTTGCATAAGAGTTTGTAATAACCCTTAAAGCCAGGATTTTCAGATCTGTATCAGCTAATGCAGCTTCTAGCTCCAGGAAACAAGGCAGAAGAATGGTTTAGGTTAGCAGACTGGAAACACCCTTTAGATGATTTTAATAAAATAAATGCAAGAATGCAAAACAAATGCAGAAAACATTCAGATTGTCTCTGCACTGTTCTGCCTCAAGTATTTCCAAAGGTTATGGATGGTACCAAAGTACAATACAAGATCAGTTCCAGTGAGTCAATACCTGAATTTTTCTCTAAATTTGAAAAAAACAAAAAATGAACAAACAAACAAACAGAAAAACAAACATTCAAACAATATTCAGAGATACCCCCTGAAAACTTTGAGAATAGACTTGACACTTTGTCAAACTCTGGTTTCATACAGGGTTTAGATGAGAAACTAATGACCCTGGTAAAAAGGAACAATGTGGCTTGGGCATCCCTGCCCACTAGCCAGCTCATTACATTAGCTGATCAATAGACAATTCATAAAGTGAAAAAGGGTATAGCTTCCAAAATTATGAACCCACAATTAAAACAGCTAAATAAACAGGTCAAGGAACCACTCAATCTCCAACCTCCCCAAAATTCACAACAAACACAAAATTGCTATTACTGGAGACAAGGACACATAAAGCAACGCTGTAAGAAACATAAACAAGCTCTCACTCATACGGAATTTACAAGTTTTGGGAGCTTTTAATCTGAGTCTGCTTTTTAAATAGGAGTACTCCAACCCATGAACCACGTATCCATACCACCAGACAGGGCCCAGGTATCACCAAGACCATACTCATTTCATTTGTCAGGAAAACATTTCAGGGACCAATGAGATCAGGGTTGTTAACGTGTGTACAGTTCTAAATTATAATCCTATGCATGTCATAAATTGTAAAAATCTCTCACAGAAAAGGGAGTAAGATAATGGGCATGCTGAGAACTTAAAAACACTGTGGTGACCTTGTAGCTCTGTCTTCAGAGCAACTTAGCAACTCTTAGTGACCTTGCAGCCCTCCTAACAACCTAGCAGTTCTGTTTAGTGCCAACAGACAGAGTTAACCCTTTTCCATCCCTAGGGTGCTCGGGGCTTTTGTTCATGGTTAGTTGCTTTGTTTAATACCTTCTAAAAAGCTCCCCCCTTCCCCAAATGTTTAAAATCTTAAAATGTTATAAAAAAGATTGTTCTGTTCTATATTTTAAAATTTGTTAAACAGTTTTTGTCTGTAAAATACATACCTGTAAGCTGCTGGTATGTACTAAAAGCTAATATTGCTAAGAGTTAAAAGTTCTGGTAAATACTAAGTCCTACATACAAAGTTACAAGCTAGATGGCTTTTCCAGAGGCACCAAATTTCCTGGTCTGGGCAAAGAACAAAAGATAAACTTTGGCAAGCCTAAGGTAATCCTTAAAATGACAAACAAAATGCATTCTTTATCTAATTAATCAGAGATAACAATTACTTCCAAAGACAAATGTATAAAGGAAAGAGAAACAAGGTAGAAAGGACACAGTAAGTAGAAAGATATGGCTAGGATGTATTTGTGGTTAAAAAAAGGTTAAAAGAAAAGAGAACATTTCAATATAGAAAGAGTTTTATATGGTAAAAAAAAATTGTCCTTAAGATAGTTGGGTTAAAAGTAAAAGGGGACAAATAAAGTATAAATATAAAGCATGTCCCAGAAGGTTTGAGTTATGTTGAAGAAGGTCTGAGAGGGGATTATAAAGGATTAAGATTTTGTGAAAGGATTTATATGACAGTATCTCATGTGGCCATGAAGCACAGTCTAAATATGGTAATGAGACCCCAAATTTGCTAAACTCTAAACTAGTACTATTAATAAACAAGGAAAACATATTGTAAATCTCATTAAAAATAGAATACAGACAAAGGTCTCTTTGGTTGGTTAGGCTGTTTGATGCCCTCTGTTTACAATATAATCCTTGTTTGTGCATTTTTATTATGTATCACCTAAATGCTATGCCAGATACAGGAAGAGGAAGGACAAAAAAAATATCACAGATCCAGAATATTTTTTCTCCAAAGTGTCTTCCCCCCTTAACTTTGAGGCCTTTTCCCCCTTGCCCAAAAGTAATTGGCTATAAAGTAAAATCAATCAGACATGGCTTTCCCCTCAAGACTCCACTGCCTGTGAAAATGGGGGACGCCTAGGACTGAGCCTTCCTAGCGCCATGGAACCTGTCAGTTTAGTGAGTAAAGGTCTGCTTGAAAATAATACGAGTGGCGTGATGGGGCTGACAAAATACCCTTCCTGGAGGCAGTTAGTTCGTGCTACAAGCCGCGGGGAGAGCGGTCATGCAGTCCCTTATATCCGGGACGGCAAGGTCGCAGTCCCTGCGTTCTCTTTTCGGGTACATCGGACGTCATACGAGTCAGTTTGCAAAGAATGCCCTGAGCAAATGGAGGAACACGGAGGCACCAGCAGAACTACTGCAACGGGTAGACTATGTGGTCACTGACGCTGAGGGCTGTTTGAGCCCCAGATCGCTTTCAAGAATACTTGTCAGAAACGAACCTAAAGCTTACAGCTCTCCCCAGCTCCCCGTAAACTGAAACGCCCAAGGACCCACTACCATAGGTGGTAACGCCTGGGCAAGGAAGCCACGCCTCTGGCTGAGGATGCCAGCGGGCACCGGGAGCCTCACTCCCGAGCCCTCGGCCGGGGTCTGCGGGCCCGGTGGCTCCTGTCTCGTTTCGCCGTTCGGTTTGGGTTCTCGGGTGTCAGAGGTCAACGAAATGCGGAAGACCGCGCGTGCTGACTTTGCGTCCACCCGGTCAAGAAAGGCGGAGGCCAAGTCGACGAGGCCCCGCCACCGGGCCCCGGCCACCCGGTCGGCACACTTGCCGGTGTGGGCCGGCCCCTCCCACAAGGCTCCCATTCTGGGGACCTTCCGCCTTTCTCGACACTAAGCTTCTGTCCACCTCTCCCATCGTGCGAGACGCCCCGAGGACCCAGCCGTGTCTGGAGCCACAAGCTGAACCTTTCCTCCAGCCTCGCCCCACCTTCTCCTTTCCGGCTATACTCTAAAGAGCTCCCTCCTTGCCCCCTTGCCGGCGGCTCCTGAAGGAAAGCGCGCCCCCGCCGGGGCTTTTATAGTCCCGTAGACGTCAGGGCGTGCGTCACAAAGCCCTGCCCTCTCGCGGGAGGTACCGGGCACCACCCCGAGGGAGGCGGGGCCAGGCAGGCCCAGCCAATGGGGGCCCGGAAGAGACAAAGGCCGGAGCCGTGCGGTGAGGGAGGCGTGCTTATCTTTTCTGACGCAATCTGAACCGCCGTAGGGAAACTGGCGTTTCCAAACCGCCAGGAGTTAGTGGAGGTGGCTGTTTCTCCGCCTTAGGTCCGCTTGACCAAAGCGGGAGCTGGTTAGGGAGGAAAGAGAAATAGTTCCATCGAACTTCTTGCTGTCACTGCCGCTCCTTTCCACACGTTACTACTGGCCCCCATAATCTCGTATTTTCTTGAGTCACCTTTACGAAGAATACTTTCTGCCACGGTGTACACAGCACTAACAAAGAAAGAGGACATAGTTTCGTGTAACAACACTTTTCCTCTTGAGAAACCTACCTGTGGAATGAGAGTTTGGGATTAACACCGAAGCTTCCTGTTTCTCCATTAGGATCAGGCACCTTGTCTCCCCAAATCATACCAACAATAGGCTGGAAGTCAGAATACTGTGTACCTTCAGCTCAGTTTTACCAAACCAAAGGAACGTTGCCTCATTAAAAATTCCCACTTGGGGTCAGCAGGTGGCATAGTGGTTATGTGGCTGAACTCCCACATGGTCCACTGCGGGTGTGAGTCCCGACTCCATGGCTTGAAAATCACGCAGGTGTGTGTGCATGGGTGCCCCAGATCCCAGGAACGGAGGAGGAGATTGCGGAGTAGCCCTATTCCCCTGAGGGGCCTTTATCACTTTCACATTCTCTCTCTCTATGGGGCAGAGATGGGGGGAGCCCAGTCAGAGCCTGCAGGTGGCCAAAAGTGGCAGTAGACAAAGTGCTGGACTCCCACATGGTCCTTGTGATTCAAGTCCCGGATATGGTAGCTTGAAAATCACCTGGTGCGTGTGTGTGTGTGTGTGTGTGTGTGTGTGTGTGTGCCCAAAACCCAGGAAGAGAATGTAGGAGAAGGGATTGCAACTGGCCATCCTCCCTGAATGGTGATTTCTCACTTTCCTTCTGACTCTCTCCAGCGAATGCACACAACATACCGCAAAAACCTAAAAAACAAAAACAAAATTCCACATAGCTCTTTCACCCATTCAGGCTCACATACTTATGCTAGGTATTAAATAACACCATAAACATGATTCTTGGATTCTGAGCAGGTTTCTTTGTAATCCATCTTAAAATGTTTAAAAGCAACAAGAACCACTGCAAATCAACAGTTAAATAACATCATGAGGACATATATTTGATTAAAAAAACAAAAACTTGTTTAAATTTAGGTAACATTAAGACTTCCAGAGCACTTTACAATACAAGGCGATGGTAAGGCCTCTGTCTACATCTTGCTACAGACAGTATTTTCTGGGACAATTTGTTCATCATTTAGTAATTATTGCTGAGTGCCAGATAAGCTCCCACTTGTCATGAAGATTACATGTAAAAGAAAGAAATGCTATCTTTCAGATGTTACATGTGATCACAGGTCTGTAGATAGTGTATTTTTTCATCCTTCATTACTTGTCTCTAGCAAGTGATCATAAAAATACAAGTGAGATGACATAATTTCTGGTAGTTTGGTTTATGATCTATTTAACTGTCAAAGGTATAATGAATTGAGCTATTAAAAACTGTGAGTACAAATATTAGAAACTCCATTTATGGGGTCTTAAAATTTGAGACGTTTATGATTGTGTAACCTAACCTTGGTAGGTCATCTTGAACACCTGTTACATGTCAAATTCTATGCAGAAATACCTTCACTCAGAAGGCAGTGTTCATACTCTTTACTCATTTCTTCAATGACTGCTTTGCCTGAGTCACTCTGAAATGCAAATTATTACAGTGAAAAAATGTACCCATGAATTTTCAAACCATCATCTATTTGCTGCTTTGCTTTCTTGAACTCTTAATGATTTGAGGTGGTTTCACGATCATCTTGTCTTTGTGTTCTCCCATTTGATCACTAGTGATCTAAATAAAATGCAAGTCTACCTTGTTTTCCACTGCCTCCCTCGCACATTCCTACCCTGTAGAAGCCCAAGGTTCTGTGTGTAACCTCCATGTACTTTCCTATTTCATCTCGCTCTCTCCGTCTGGTTCCCACTTGACTCTCCAGAGACTTAGATACACGTGCTGTTTGTCACCTCTCCACTTTTGCTCATCAGGTCCAAGGCTTGGGAGGCCCCTCCAGCTATGGTTTTCACCTGATTACATCCTTCCTAACCTTTAAAACTGAGCTCAGAAATGCTCCTTTTATTTTATTTATTTATTTTTTTGAGAGGTTTTTGCTATAGGGTGCACACGCTCACTAGAAAGACAGAGAGAGACAGGAGGTGAGAAATCATCCCCCGGGGAGATGGCCACACCGTAATCCCTTCTCCTCTTGAGATCTTGGGCAAGCATGCACATGTGGCCAGTGTGAGTTTAAGCCACCGGTTCTGGGACTCAAATTGCGGTCAACTACATGGGAATCCAGCAACATAGCCATTATGCCATCAGCTGGTCCCTCAGAAATGCTACTTTAGGAAGCCAATGGTTTAGTAATACTTCATCACTGGCACCATGACAAACACTTTTGAGCTTAATTTACCATATTATTCTGTTTTTGACTCTACTTACTAAATATTTAACAAAAGGTGATGAACTAGGGCAATGTTAATTTGATCCAAACCACCTGGACTAGAATCATCCCAGGAACTTGCTGAAAAATGCCTTCCCAGGGCCAGCAGATGGTGTAGAGGTTATATCGCTGGACTCCCACATGGCTGACCATTGTTCGCATCCCAGACCCAGTGGCTTGAAACTCACGCCCGGCATGTGTGTTTGTGTGCCCAAGATCCCAGGAGGAGAACGGAGGAGAAGGGATTGCAGTAGTGAGGCCATCCCGCCAGGGGGCTGATTTCTTACTTTCCCTCTCACTGTCTCTGTCTCTGTCTCTCTCTAGCTAGCACATGCACTCTAAGGCAAAAACTTCTTAAAAAAAAAAAAAGCCTTCCCAAGCCCAATTAGAAGGTGCTGAATCAGAATCTCTGACAATAGAGCTAATCTGTAAAACAGGTAAACTGAAGCCACCAGGCCCATGGGTGGAACAATAGAGTTACAGGTCACATGGGTTAAAGTATGTTATTTCTGTTTCCTACCCAAGTCAACTAGAAGATCCAGCTTAGATCCCTTTGCTAGTTAGTGTTTATAAGAAAGCCAGTTACACTGCATCCTTGGTGATTTTTGTACCCTCTACTAAAAATGGGCACATCTACCATGGACCAACTTTCCATTTTCTTGTTCCCTGTGTCCTTTCTTCTTACTGCATTTCCTTTTCCTAGCTTCTAAATTATTTGCTTCTACTATATATCTTCTTGGGATAAACTGGGTTTAACATTTTTATTTCTACAAAATAGAACACTCACAGAAACTGAAGCTGTACACCATGATCGTGTGAATGTATATCTTTCTAGGTATAAAGCTATATTTGGATATTTGCCACCATGATTTGCTTAAGGAAGAGATCATCTAGAAAAGCACACAGCAAAGGAAGTGTGTGTGAATACTGAATTGTCCATTGCTTTTAGTTGGCAGAAGTGTAAAAGTGCAAATTCAGTAAGTAACGAACTTATAATATGCATCAATAAACATTCTTATTTTCTGAGACAGCTATAAGTTATTATTCTTTACTCAGCATAAGAATTAGCTATCATTAGTTAAAATAAAAGAAATAACCCAATAAAAGTAGAATCTTAAATAGATTAACCAACGAGGTACATATTACATTACTAGACCATGCCTCCAAGTGTTTCAAGTTATAAAAATGTGCACAGTATTACATAAAATATACATTTGAGATTTCTCTCATCATGGGCACAAGCTAATACAAAAATATATTGGCATCTGTAAATTAGAAGATCCATTTGAGAGCCTCTAAAATAGGAAATGGG